CGTTATAATTTTCGCTTAGGGTCAGGGTTGGTCCATTAATACTCATGGAAAGGTCGATCTGATCATCAAGACCATCAGTCTACATTGGCGGATGCGGCATCATCAAGATTCACAAACTTTAAGGCTTGAGTGAGAGGGGTGGTATACGGTCACCTCCTTTAGTCCAAAGGGTCCTTTTTTATGGGAATCTTGATGATGCTGCATCGGCAAATATATGACTATTCTTCTCTACTGTTGCATGCCAAATATGTCCAGCAAGCTCTTCGATTTGATCAAAGGTGGAGTGTAAGTTAATTTCCAAGCAAAAACCATCAAGGTAATATTTCCTTAACATATCTCAAGCTGCTTGTTTTCAGGTTATGTTTATCCAATCTAGTTTTTGCCCTGTTCTCGTCTCCTGTAATGTGCTGGTTCTCCTTCTTTGGCTGCTGGTCTGGGATTGTTCGGTGGTCTATGAGCTTCATTTGGTTGTGGCAACATTTTTTCAGTTTTCATCTTCTATTTGTTTCCTCCGTCCCTTCTGGCCTATATATAGGCTGATGTTGCTTTTTTTTTAAATAGTTCTGCCATTTTGGTGTTCTCTCATCACTTGCAGCTTTTCCTCGGATATGACTACAATAGTGATAAAACTCAGACCAATTATGTCAATCTCGAGCCTGACCTAGCGAGTCAAATTACAGCTTGATGAGTTAATTCAAAATTTAAAACAATTTTTTTTTAAATCAACTTAAACATAAAATTAAGAATAAAAGTACCCTTTTGCATAGGGAGGTAAGGATGTTTCCAGTTCACTCCAATTAAGGCAAACTGCGGACATTCCAACGCTAGTTGAACATGTATAAGGAGCTTAATCAATATTGTTCACAAAAATTGAGGTGTTTATCGGATACAGTAAGGCCTGTCAATCCTGCATCAAATTCGATGTAAAAGAACTGTCCTGAAATTTTGCTTGACCTCATGTTTTGGGCTCATGCTGATATGAAAGTTGTACTGGCTAGAAGTATCAACGAGCCCATGTTGTGGGCCAAGTTTATTGCTATCAATGATGAAGCACTCGATATGGAATCGTGCTTTAGGCTTTTTTTTTTACCGGCTAAGAATCTCAGAGTCATCAGCCAAGGCTCCGATCATCCATTATTCCAGCTGCATCAATGAAATTTTAATTTTGTTGTAGTTTCAAATCACAACATCATTTTAAATGTTGTCGTTATAAAATAAAGTGTGCTATTTTGTCAAAACTTTTAACTATTATATTAATTCATTATTTATTTTAATTTTGTGAATTAATTACCCAATTTATTAGCTCTAGGGGCACCACCCATTTGTCTTGGTGCATCCATGGTTTAAAGATCCATGACCCATTTCAAGTTCTAGTCATGAATTGAATAGGTTAAATCAAATCAAATTTTGATTTAAAAAACAAAGGTTAAAACGTTTTTGTTTTGAAAAAAATAAAAATCAAATTTTGACCAAGTTTTTTTTAAGTTATGGGTTAATTTGTTGAGTTGTCTTATAGCTAAATCAGGTTAATTTTTTATTTTTATTTTAAAAAAACCCAACTTAAATTAAAAGTGTTGGGCTCCTAGTTGATTTATAGTTGAATGAATACAGCACTCCTACCAGGCTGGGTTTTTTAGGTAGGGGTAAACTGCACAAGTTGACACTGTAAGAACTATATATATATTTATAGTAAAGAGCTGTGTAGTATATTTTACCAGCCATTGATGACCTGCACAGGAAGTAAACTGTAGCTAACAAGAGATGAGCCAAGTTCAAGCGTCATCCTTCACTTTTGTGTTTCGATATATGAGGTAATTGCGTAAATGGAGCCAACAAGATGAACTGTAAAGAGTCTCTCTGATGCTTTCGTTTCAAAAACAACTCAGTGGACCATTTGGAGAGACACAAAATTATGGAAAGTTTGACCCGCTGTTCTTACGGAGTGTAGCAGAGAGGGATCCATGGTTTCACAAGTCTGCCTTCCCCGTCCTGAGCCTGACCATCCCTTGTGCAGCTCACATGTCTCCATGTGGGTCTCCCAATACGTGCATGTACTCAAGCCCCCATGATTCACCTAAGAATTTGCTTAGCCCAAAGAGTCTTCGAAGAAAAAAAAATCAAAGAAGATTAAAAAAGAGGGGCGTTGTGTACCAGGAGAACATCCCATGTGGCTAGATTTTGACTCTGTTGAATCGCATTGACCAATGAAATATTCACGCGTATTTAAAATTACGATAATGATTTTTTTAAAATATTTTTTATTTAAAAATATATTAAAATAATATTTTTAAAAATTATTTTTAACACATTAAAATAATTCAAAAACATCAAAAAATATTAATTTTTAGTAAAAAAATAAAAAAATTTAATTTTTTCGAAAAATATTAATTTTTAGTAAAAAAATAATAAAATTTTAATTTTTTTAAAATACAAAAATAAAGGAATAGAATGTATTTGAAGTAGTGAAAATTAAAAACACAACAAATAAGAATAGCCGCTATATTTGTTCCTTGCAGTGAAACTGTAGGTTTGATTTCACATTGTGCAAAGAAATATTCCATGACGAGTTATGGTTTTTTATAGCTTAGTTTATTTTATTGAGTTGATTCGGTGACCTTGCAAATAAACTATTCCAACATGTAACTTAATAATTTAAATTTTTAGAATAAACAGGATTCTTTTTAATTATAATTTTGAATTAAACGATATCAATTTTACGCTCTAACAATTATTTTTTTGTTCTCTGTCATTAAATGTGTGTAAAAGAAATATTTTCATATTAAAATATATTATTTTTTCATTTTTTAATTTGAGCAAATCAAAATCTTTAAAAAGTATTAAAAAAACAACAATTTAATATTTTTTTAAACGAAACAAACTTAGAAGATACATAATTTATCACGAAGTTAATGAAACCAAAAGGCAACGAAGACCGCATCTCAATTTGAGTACAATGAATAAAGTGGAATATTTGACCGTTGTTTTGAGAAACTTTTATTAGTTTATAATTTCACATAGAATTTTTTTCCAAGTACCATTTGATTATTGATTAAGAAAGCTTGTGATCATGGGCTGGTCTGGCTTTAAATAATCTCGTAAGTACACCATTTTTATTTTTATATCATTTTGAAGTTTGTTGTCCAGCAACGGATGACGCAGAGCACAGACCTATTTCATCACATGGTGAGTTTCAGAAGAGCACCATTGATGAATTAATAATTTGAGGTAACTTTAAATTTCATTTTTTCTGTGTTCTATTACATAAGATCTTGATTCATTCAAGAACGTTAAGCTTCACTGCTACTGACCCAAAGGGTTGCAGTACAATCTCTTGTATTATTTAATGGTTAGGGGGTGACCTAGCTGGGACATTCAGGACGAAGACACGATATATATATTGCTTTGGTGATTCACGGATATCAAGCTAGCCAAATATGGCATCCTTCACAGGCACCGTAACTCTCTGGTCTAATGTAACCAAGAATCCCAGGAGAAGAATCCTAGGAGGAGGAGGAGGAGGAGGAGGAGAAAGGAAGAAGGTTGAGCATCCAAGGCATTTTCCGAGACAACTTCCTTCTGTTTTTTTTCGAAGTGATTTTTCTATATATTTTTTCAACAAGTGTGTTTAAACAGAAGATTAAAAAACATCGTATGGGAAGGAAGAAGGTTGAGCATCCAAGGCATTTTCCGAGACAACTTCCTTCTGTTTTTTTTCGAAGTGATTTTTCTATATATTTTTTCAACAAGTGTGTTTAAACAGAAGATTAAAAAACATCGTATGGGAACTATTATAAATGATATTATCTATGTTTTAGAGAAATTGTCCCGCTTTCTATTTTTATTTGAAATGGGTTAATTAATATAAGATTGAAACATAAAACGAGAACGGTTTTACATGATCCCATCTTCCGTTTTATATTTTTGTTTGTCGATCGTATGATCAAAATATTTGTCATGAAGTCCAACGTTATGTGTTTTTTCTAGAGTTCATTTTGTAAAACGCCTGTAATTGGAATGTGTGTTTTATATATATAAAAAAAATGGTGACATGAAATATTAATAATTTGTATGGCTATGACTTTTCTTAAATAAAAAAAGAGTAATTAAATTTGGTGGTTTACTCCAGTGGCTTGTTGACCCAAAACTTGGTTTAAGTCGGATTTCAAATAAATTAAATGGAAGTTGATATAATTTGACTTGGTAAATCAATTAGTAATGTTATCGACATGTCAAAATCTAGTTTAAATGATGTTTTGAGGTCAATTTAGATTGATTTTTTCAATTCATAAATCAAATCATATCATAAACCATATCAAATTTAATTGAAAGAAACTACCAGCTATGAGTGTTTGAGAATATAGTTATTAAAGTGTTTTTAATTTGAAAATTTATTTTTAATATCAATCTACCAAAATAATTTTAAAAAATTAATTCAAAACAAATAAAATTTTTAAATTTTAATAAAAAAAAAACATGCTGCAAAAATATGATTTTAACTTCTACAAGCGAAGGAGGGAGCCCAACTTCGACGCATATTGAACGTGCTCGGAGGCCACGAGCAGTGAACGTTTCAATTATTAGACCGACCGCTGTCCTTCGTGGAACAATGAGCACAACCCTCTTCACATTACCAGCTCATACCTGTCTCTGAGTACGAACCTCTCTGTATGGACTGTATGGTGACCGTTTTTTAAAATTAAAAAAAATAACCATAATGTACGACAGCAATGTCTACAAATTAAATATTGTATGGTGACCGTTTTTTAAAATAATAAAAAAATAACCATAATGCAGCTCTGTACGACAGCAATGTCTACAAATTAAATGATGGATCTCCATGAGGGGGGAAGGAGGTTCAAGAATCAGGAAGTCACACAGTAAGAATACAGACCCTGAGACCTGAGAACCAGCCAATAACATGATGCCATGAACGGTAAAAAAAAAAAAACACGGATGCAAGGTGACCGAATATACAAAAAAAAAAAAAAAAAAACAAAGAATTTCAGCACCAAATGAAATACTGGTTCACATCTAGAAACCCGAATCGCCATTACAATATTTAATAAAAAGCCCACTCACTGAGCGAGTCCCATCCTTGATCTTATCTCTCTCTCTCTCTCTCACACACCAACGCTTTCGCCCTCTCACACGTATATAGTACATACAGAGAAGAATCATATCACTTGCTGTTACGAGCTAGTCACTTGTAGCTTCTAAGGTTCGTAGATGGATGAGAAGTGGAAGTTATCAAAGAAAGAAGGTTCATCTTCTTTCACAAGAAGTTTCTCGACTAAGAGTTCATCATCCAAGGCTCCTCTCTTGAGGACCTCGTCCCTCAAGAGCTCTTCTCCAAAGTGCCCTCTTCCAAGGAGTTTCTCTCAAAAAAACTCTTCTATTTCACATAAATGTAGTAGCTTAGCCAAGGAACAGAAGGCAAGGTTTTATATCATGAGGCGCTGTGTTGCCATGCTTGTTTGTTGGCACAAACATGGTGATTCTTGAAGGAACATGCAAAGAGATCGAGTAAGGGATCAAGTGTACCTTCTTGGTTGTTTCTTCTTGCTTTTTTTTTCTCCTCCCCTCTCCTTTCTTAAAGATGGATGTTGGGTTTGATTGAACTCGTAAATTTTCTGCCATCTGACCAAGAAGAGATTGGTATCATAGGGTTTTATTGTCTTTCCTCCATTTTTAGAATCAGCTCTGTAATTACAATTTGAAGAGAGCTAGAATCATCTACTTTGTAACAAGAGATCATCACATATCAATTATAATCCAATAAAATCTCAAATTAACTAGCTACATTTACTTTGATGATTCTTCATTTTTTTTAATGTTCTGGGTAGATAGATTTTAGTCCCTACTGGATCTCAACACTAGCAAGACCTGTTTTGCTCTATTATTGAAGTTGTCATAGCAGTCTTATCTCTTCTCCTTTCAGTTTCCGTTTTCCTCTCTGTTTTGTCTTTTGATGGAAGAGAGATTCCTTTTAGATGGTGGAACTGGCAGTAAGGTAGGGGACATTATTAGCAATTGGATCTGCATTGGGAGTGCCACTCATCTCCCTGCCATTGATAAAAATGAGTTCTGTAAAAGGTAATACCAGCAAAACTGATGCTACTACAAATGACAACTTGCATACAGTTTGATTCTACAGTAGGAATCTGGATTCTGGATTTTTTCCGAGCATCTCTCCTCTTATCAGCACAAAACGTCTAATTTTGTCATTTCAGCACTGAAAAATATCAGAATCGTCAAATGACACGACATGTCGTGTCGTATCCCACTTATTTCATCAACTGTAGGATAAGAACTTGTCATAAAAAGAAGGTACGGGAGTTTTTAGCTTCTCGATCTTCATATCAATTCATCTCCATCTATAGTCGTAGTGTGCAAGCAGGCCGGATACTCATATTAATCTAAAAAAAAAAAAACCCCACATGTACAACTAGATGCGTCAACAAAACACCAGCCCCCCCGCCCTTGTGTCGAATGAAACATGTGATGCTTTACTCAACTACTTCCAAGCAAGAACATGAATACAACAAGATTAGGGAAATCATCATGGTAATAGTGTCTTGTTAGAATCCATAATTGAACTGCATAATTGAATCATTGCATAAATGTGATAATGTTATAGACAACTGCATAAATGTGATAGACCCGTAGATACATACTATTAGTCACTGGTGAATCTGCTATAATTCTTTGTTTCCGTAGCAGAACACTGATACTTGGGGGGGAAAAAAAGGAAAGGACGGATGTTATAACTTTCAGAAGTCAGTGACAGTAAACATAAGAAAATGTATAGCAGCTTTTAAATCTGGCCAGAATCAATCATTACAATCCTTTCTGTAATTTGGTCTGATAATTAAAACATAATGAATATGATGTTATAGTCATTTATTTACTGCAGTTCGCAGGATTGAAATAGCATAAGATCAAGCATAACATGGAAAAAGACACTTCATGATCAAAATGTCATTAATCAACAGATACAAAATATTTTTTATAATTCCACCACAAGGTTGTTTACATGTCACCTGCGATAGGAGTGACATCTGAAGTTGAAATGAAGCCGCAAAATTATCCCATCAAACGTGCTCTTGAATCCTTTTTTTATGGCTCACATCCCAATCTTTCTTCACAATTCGGAATGCAATGTCCTCATAAGGTGACCCTGCATGAAATCTTATAATGCAAGTCTCGCCATTGCTCCCATCATCCTCGCATGTATAAGTTGGAGTCTCTGTCCTGTTTATCATGTCTGGGTAGAAGATATTGAACTTGTATCCTCGCACAATCTTTGGAGGTGGATTTTCATGATCGTAGTGAGTCCTGTTATATTTGTTCCATTCATATCCAGTGTGAAAAGCATTGACATACTTAGGCTTTCTCGGTTGGTACTTGTCACACAACCATTCTACCTGTGAATCCAGGTTCACTTCAGCGACAGAGCCAATTACTCCATCACCTTCCTTCATAGCTCCCGTAGCTTTATTCAGATTGAACTTCTCCAATAATGTAGGCGGTTCTGGTTCCGCAGGTTCTTGAATCTGATTTTTTCGTTCATCATCATTAGCAACAAATTGTGGAATAGCACAATCCTCTTTCTTCTGCCAGTCCTGAAACTCAGCACGGGCACGTTTTCTAGCTAACAACTCCCTTTCTTCCTCGTGCTGTCGTTTCTCAAGTGCCGTTTGCTCTCTTCTTTTCTTAACCTTTCCAATCTCTTCCATTCTCTCTCTCTGTCTCCTTCTTTCGGTTTTAAGAGAAAAGAAAGCAGCCCTTGCGCAATATCACGCTCAATCTTTTTGCGCCACACAAATTTCTCATCGAGATTGGAATCACCGAAGGGATTGGACTGATTAGAATAAAAGGACGAGAATGGTGATGATGATCTCGACGTCAACTTTTTGCTTTTTTGATCGCCTTCTTCACCAAATACTCTTCTATTTCTTCTTCACTTACCTTCCTGTTCACGTCCATGTTTAATTCTTTATCAGCAAACAATTCTCTCTGCCCTCCTCTGCCTCCGCCCCTGCCTCCTCTGCTTTTGCTTTAGGGTAAATAAATCATCTAAAAGAAACCTAATTATATAGGGAAAGTAAGAAAACCTGGAACCGACCTTCATTTTTTTTTTTTAAAAAAAAAAGGATAACCGACCTTTATTGTGAATGTATATATAACAGAACTATATATATACTTTTTTATTTTAGGATATATGACATAAATTAATTTATGTTAGAAAGATTTTTTTTTAATTTTTCAGCTTGTCACATGAATTTTAGAATAACTAAAATGCATATATCTTAAACCCATTGAGCTAAATTGCTTACAGGCAGGTGAAAATCAAAATGTAATCTTATTCATATTAATTATATGCTTGATGAACAGAACAGGCAAGTTAATCCGAATGGATACCTGGAAGGATCTCCATGAGCAGCCAACCAAGGCTCGACCATGGAAGCATCGAAGCTATAGAAAATGTGGCTGTGAGCATCTAATATTCCACAAGCAGCCAAATTAGACTGTTTTGCTAACCAATTCAAAACCTTGAACCCATCTTCAAAAGCCCTCCGATTCCTGGTCTCTGGTGCCAATCTATACCCAACAACCACGAAAATAATATCATCACTGTTTCGTGATTATCCTGCAAAACGCGTCGTTCCCTACCGATTCATTGCTGCCTTTCACAAACCCGCCACCGTGAAACTGCAGCATCACCGGTGAAAGTTAACTGGGGGAGGCAAATAGCCGCCGTGATCATGGGTTGAAGGGCAACGGGGAGGTGACAGCTGAGTCAGGCAGGCAAACGCGGAGAGAAAGAGAAGAGGAGTCGACACGGATGGTGTTTTTGGTACTCCACCAAGGTTATCAAAAATATCTTTTTTGACTTGAAAAATACAATATAAATTATAAAATTATAAATAATTTTTTTAATATAATTAACAATTCTAGTTAATAAATTAAATTACATTAAAATTTAATAAAATAAATGAATAATATTATAATTAATAAAATAAAACTGAGAAAGATAAATAATATAAATTAATAACATAAAAAAATAAAAAAATTTAGAATAAAATTTTTCAATACAGAAAAATCACTGAAAAATAAAAAATAAATATAAATTTAGTAACAATTTAATTGTTTCCATCACAATAAGTATTAATAGATTTATTTTGAATTACAAACTAATGAATTTAAATTAGAAATTAACTAACATAAATTTAATAATAAAATAAACTCCTAAATAATATTTAATACATTAAAAAAATTAAATTAAAAATAATTATTTAAAATAAATAAAATAAAATAATAAAAAAATCTTCTTATTAAAATTTCTCCATGTAGCATGAATTTTTAATTTTTGTATATTTTTGATAGATTGGAGTCTTGATTTCAAATATGTTATTCTTTCTTGTTTTAATGAATGATTAGGCCTGCAATATATAGTTAAAAAGTTTTAGATATTTAGTCAAAGTAAAATTTCATCGGTAGCTCTGGATATGTAATAAACAATAAATCTTGTCTGATATATTTAATAATATTAATTTACTAACTTTGATTTTCTAAAATATTAAGTTTTTTAACTCTATTTGATATAAAAATTTATCATAATATATTTTTATATATTTAATATTTTCTTTTAAAATTTCAACTTCATTCAATATATAGTTTGAAAGATATAATCAATCTTATAAAACTAATATGTAAATATTTTAAAATCAAATTTAAACCTGATATGATTCATATCATAAATTTAATAAATTTATAAAATTAAATTGAGTTTATAAATTTTATACAAATTAAATCTAATTTTATTAATTTTAAATTTCTAATCTAATTTAACACATTAAATATATTATTTTAACTTCTGAAATTATAAAACTTTACGAGTTAACTCATCATTTTAAAAATCTTGGCTGGTGCTAAGTAGAAGAAGGGTTGTTAGCGGCGATGGATTCGTGGGGTCGAGAAGTGACGCCAAATTGGAGAGAGGGATTCTAGAAGCATCCCCTGGGGACAAATGCTTTTTAGAAAAGACTGTTCGTGACTCGCACTTTGCACCCGTGGGTCAAAAAAATTTGAATACGTAAAAGAATGCGTAGACGAAGAAAGTAGTTGAAAAGAAGAAGAAAAGACCTTTATACCCTATTGGTTAACTCGGCTAAATTGGATAATTTAATAATATAATATAATTTATAAAATAATGATAATAAATAAATTGTTAAAAAAAATATGTGATACTAATCAATTAAAATAAATGATTTCTCTATATTATAATTAAAAAAATATATATTAAAAATTCAAATTTAATTATAAAAGTCTAGACCAAGATATTAAAAGAAATTACATGGATCACTAGAGTAATATCTTGAAAAAGAAAACCAAACAAAACAAAATAAAGTAAGTGTTAGATTATATTCAATAAATCAATTTTATTTAATTTAAAAATAAAATTTATTTTTTAAAAAATAAATTTTAAAAAACAACAATTAAAAAGACTTGAAATAACCCAATTAAATAAAAAGAAATGATAAAAGCAAAGTCATAGAAAGCATGAGAAAAAAAAATGTTCAATCTCTAAATAAATAAATATTAAAAATAAAATTAAAAAAATATTTTTTTTTAAAAAAAAAAGCAATCTTAGACAAACCTTGAGAAGCGGGTTTAATTTTCAAAGCTTCCAACCCATAAAATTTTAAACGCAAGCTTAACCAATTAACTTAAATCTAAACCAATTAAATATCAAAGAATAAAATTGAGTAAAAATATACTAGTTTTGAAAAACTTGCAAAGCAAAAAAAAAAATGAAGATAAAATCTAAAAGGAAATAAATTTATAGAGGGTGGAATCAACAAAAAAAAACAACTCTAAAAATTATTTTAGATTACAAAAAATAATAATTAAAAAAATAAATATTATTAATAAAACAAAAAAAAATAAGGATGAAATTGAAATGAAAATTTAATTCAATAAATTATTTCAAAAAAAATTATTACCAAAAAAATATGAACTGAATAAAAGAAAAAAAAAAGTTTAGAGACCGATTCGAAAAATTAAAAGGTGGAACGCAAACACCAAGAAAAAAGAAAAAAAAAAAGAAGATAATTATCAATGGCAAAATAAAGTATTCTAGCTGCGCGCGCCATATATATATATGGAGGAGACACTAAAATGAAGTTGATGTCATACTGTAACGGCCTTCTTGGCTGCTGAAATCAGCCATGCATGTTGTTTGAAAAATGGTAAAGTGGTTGATGCAGTAACACGTAGAGAATTTTTTTTATATATCTCCTTTTATTTTATTTAAAAGACTGAACTACCCCTGCCACATCCTAATAACAACAAAAAGATTTGTTGCGCAATGACTGAAATACTTTGTAACCCTAGGCTTCAGAAAATAAAATTTAAAGGCAAGTAGGTCTTTTAATTGTCCTTATAAAAATAAATAGACAAAAGAAGCCCTTATTAGCAATTCAAATTTTTTCTTCTAAGGATAGTATAATAATTTTATTATGCATATTAAAATAAAAGGACAAAAATACCTTTTTATAGCAAACAAATATATTCTTTCTTTTGAGAGCATCAAAATAAATTTATTGGGTTAAAAAAAAAAAAATTATGTCCTGTCCCTAGTCAATTTCAAAATACCAAAATGATTCTATTGCAAAGATGATCCCACTTTCAACTATTAGCCTACTCTTAAAATTTTAAGAGTAAAATAGTAATTTTATTATTCTTGTCCATAATAAAATATGTATCAGTAAAGCCTTAAGATTTTTTAATAAATTAGTAATATAATTTTTTAAATAGTATAAATATATATATTTTTTCTTCTGTACATTCCAATAGTAAAGTGTCTTTTAGAATAGTCAATTGTATTTTTAATATATTTAAGATACATTTATTTTAAAATTTAATATGATTTGATTGACTTGATAGATTTAAAAATAATTTATAATCAATTTAATATTAAATAATAAAATTAAAATAAATAAATAAATAAATTAATAATAAAATAATCTGATTCAACTTCAGTAAACTTGAAAAATCTATGATATAGATTATAAGAACATTATCATCTCATATAAATATAAAGCAAATATATATATATATATATATAATTAAAAAAATCAAAGAGAAAAAAAACTAATAAAAAAATATTATTGCAATAAATAATATCTTATTTTTACCATATTTGTAAGAATAAAATCCAAATGAATATTTTCTTTTCTCTTTTCTCTTGAAGATGCTTAAGAGATTTTTTTGTTATCTTTCCCTTCTATTGAGTTTTTTTTTTTTTTTAGTTGGCTTCTTTTCATGTTGGGATTTTTTTTTAACAAGGTTTTCTCGTTATATTTTGATTAATTATAGTATCTTAACTTGTAAACATCAATTATTTGAACGAGTTTTCAATATTTATGCTGTTGTCAAGATTTTTCTATACAATATAATGTAAAAATAGTGATATGTTTATCTATAACTTGGTATTAAAATAATTTATTTCAAACATGTTTCTTTTAACCTCCTTGTAGTTTTCTATAATACGATCACTAATTTGTATCCTTATGAATCTATCGAAATTAATTTTCTTCTTCTTTGAACATACCCTTTCCATTGTTTGTCATGCGTTCAGCCCATCACATCCCAAGGTTCGAACTTATGTTCATTAACACGCCTTAAACACATTAAATTGTGTAAGAAACCATTAGCTTAACATGCAAGGTAGGGGATCCACTGCGAAAAGTAATATATTTATCACAGTTACGCATGTTAGTCGTTTACTAAATTATCCATCACCACAACCCATCTTAAACACATTTTATGTTCTTAGGCATGCTGTAGTCATAATTAGTTTGTTAAAATGCCGAGTTAATTTATAAAATTTTATGAATTTATGAGTGAATATATTGATATAAAAAATTTAAAAATAATAAAATCAGATTTAATTTATGTAAAATTAGTAAATTTGGTCTAATTTTATGTATTTACTAAATTTATGATATGAATAAAACCGGGTTTAAATTTAACCTTACAATATCTACTAACTAGTTTTATAAGATTGATCATATCTTTCAAACTGTATATTGGATGAAGCTGGAATTTTACAAGAAAATATTAGATATATAAAAATATATTATGATAAATTTTCAGGTTAAATGGAATTAAGGTATATAATATTTTAGAAGGTCATTTTAGTAAACTAATGTTGTCAAATATATCAAACAAGATCTTCGTATACTATTTGAGACATATTTAGAGCTATTCGTAGAATTTTGTTTCGATTAAAGTTGGAATAGAAACTATATATTTGAAATTTTCCAACTATATAAAGTTGGTCTAATAATTCATCCAAATGAGAAAGAACGACATGTTTGAAATTGAAATCAAGAGAGAATAATATGTTTAGAATCATGACTTAAATCTGTCAATAATATGTAAAAATTAGAGATTTAGGCTACATGAAGGAATTTTAACATGAATTTTTTGTAATATTTATTAATTTTATTAATTTTAAATAATTATTTTAAATTTAAATTTTTTCTAGTACATTAAATATTATTTAGAGGTCTATTTTATTATTGAATTTATGTTAGCTAATTAATAATTTGAACTTATTAGCTTGCAACCCAAAAAAGGTCTCTCAAGGCTTATTATGATGAAAACAACCATATTATCACTAAATTTATATTTATTTCCTACCTTTCAATAACTTTTCTTTATTGAAAAATTTTATTTTGAGACTTTTTGTTTTTCTATGTCATTAATTTATTGATTCATACTATCTATCTCTCTCATTTTATTTACATAACTCATTAATTTTAATATAATTTAATTTATTGACTCAAATTATTAAATATAATTAGTTAAAAAAATTATTTATAATTTTACAATTTAAGTTTTCAATCTAAATTTATATTATATTTTCATGTCACGTCATAATCATTTTCATATCAAGTTTTTAAGGTGTTTGATTTTGTTTTTCATTCATAAATATATTAAAATAATATATATTTTTTTTAAAAAATATTTTTAATATCAAAATAATCTAAAAACACTAAAAAAATAATTTATACCATAAAACGTTAAATTTTAATGAAAAACAGATTGAGTCTCAATGTAAAACACCCCCTAATACAAGCACCACAAGTCTGCTATGGAAACCAAAAGGACCACTGGTGTCATATTTTATGCCAATATGCCAATATAGTCCTTGTTTTGTGGTCACAATGGCTACAACACAGGACTATCAGCCATTCAAGTTTGCCCAGCTCAACCTGAGCGAGGCTGGATGAGAAACAAATCTGAATTTGAAGTTATAAATCCAAAATACTGGTATATTACCCAGCAGATAACAGCAAATCAACTGAAACTAACTCATCACTAGTCAATGCATTTCTACTAGCTTTTCTCTTGAGGAATTCTTTGTTAACTATCTATAATGAAGTTATAAATCGATAATGCCCTTTCGGGAGATAAAAAGTCTGACGTAGATTGAGGTTAATTAACTATACAACAAAAAAAAAAAAACATAATCAAAACACGCAAACAATGGTAGAGCCAAAGATAAGATGTGTTGAAAGAAAAGAAAGAACTAATTTCGGCCATCAATGACAATGTAATGATCTGTTCAATAAATATAAACAATACAAAAACTTCGTCAGATTAGCCATGCGTTCTGCAGAAAATCTGGCAGGACATGCGAAGATGTCCCCACTTCAGGGTGGTTTTCTCTTTTAGTTTTCAGCTAGTCTACTGTTTACAGCATGCTTTGTATGTTTCTGTGTTCAGAAATAACACATTTAAGCTCCTGAATAAAATAAAAACAAAAAAACTCACAAAGGCGGAACCCCATTTGTTGGAGCACTTGGTGGTCTGTATTTCATTACCGCCACTTCCAGGACACCATCATTCCGGAAATTAGGACAGAAGAGTCGAGGGTCAACAGGACCAGGCAATTTAAAAGAAATGGTGAATGGTCCAGGAGGGCAGAGTTGCTGGACCCTCATCTGGAAGACACTAGATGAATCTTTCAGCATCCCAGCATCAACAGTTACCACACCTTTTATGTGAACAGTCCCATTATGCTGGATATCACATTTTAAATTACCTGGAAAAAAAAGGTGGACTAGGTAATTTCCTATATCACAAAACACCATGCCACCACCATTCCTTAAAGCTTCGGCCTTAGATTTTAATAGTGCTTACTGCATTACTAAATTCTTTTTAATGGAATAAATGTGGCTTAAGAAGCATGATGCTCAGCACAAGCCACCGCAATTTAACATTTGAGGTAAGAAGCTTACTTTCATTTCTCCGAATGCCAGGCAGTGCAACACGGAAAAGATATGCATTTTCACTGACACCAATGTCGACAAGACCAATTGGTGGTCCTGCACTAACTTCCTTTGCAGTTCCACTTAAAATCACTAATGGTTTCAATTTTGGTTGGTTAGCAGAATCACAAGCATCCATGCTGCCCCCCAAGATTCCTGTGACGCTCAAGTTCTCAGTATCCACATATTAACTCCACAATCAAGGTCAACAGTGATGAAGGAGGAGTGCAAATTCCAATTGTGCATGCAGTTGTTTTCTATTCTGACATATAAATGTACAATAAAAACACCCATTGAAAATTTAAAGAACTTGCGTTGTTTAGATGAAACTGATAGTACTTTTGGTAGCATCTAATAACAGGCCAAGTAACTTATAATGAAGCTAAAATTTGTTGCAACTTTTGCTTAAAGGGGGAGCGATAAAGGCAAAGGATCAGCAAAACAATTCAATTCGTAAGTGTTGCCAAGACTAAAAAAAAGACAGAGCATAGGGATCCAAAAAAGGCAATTCAGAAATGTGCAAAGATATATTAGTCTGAAATTTCTGAGTGAAGAAAATTAGTGAAAGATAAACAACAAATAGGTAAAAAGATTTGCAATTCAGTCTCTAAAGTAAACCTTAAATCCATAAGAGTAATCTAGCTCCAGAATGGCTGTTCCCAATCTGGACAGCTAGCACGCCAACCTTTACTTATTAAGACTAAAATATAAACCACTGGAACAAATATGCAAAGACACAGTATAGAGTAATTAAGTATTTTCATTTTTCAAAAGATAACCAAACACTATTTCCAAGTTTCATGCTAAAAGAGGAATGGCAAGGGCCCAGACTCTGCATCATAATGATTCAGTTAGTGCTGTCTATCGATGCAACTTGGAACAAGCATGAAATAAAAGACACAACTAGTATGAAAGCATGGCTGATCAGGGCATCTCATAAACCAAAGTACTAATATTTTCAAATCCATTTGTTGTTCTATGAGAGTATGGTATTCAGATGACAATATCATTGAAGATGACCAACAGAGAGTTTGCCATAGACACTCAATGACAATCACCTGATCACCAGAAAGCTTTAGGCCTGAAGATTACAATGAAGCTTGCATTAATGTACATGACACAGGTTGCTTATGTTTCCTACTGGCCACCTAAGAGATATTGATTTCCGAGAAAGAATGGAACAGAAGATAAAAGACTCCTCCACTAAAAACAATCCAATTTCAAAACTATATCATGCCAATGACACCTAAAACAAGAATCCTTTATTCATGTTGCGTAGGTAATGGATTTTCAATTGATAGCTCATTTTGATAAAATAATCCTTGTTGCTTCTCAGTCATGCTTCCAATAAACACAGAATGAATAGAGACAGGAAAAAACAAACATGTTCGTCAAAGAATCTTAATTTAGATGGCATCTGAATAAGTAACCCTAACATCTTAATTTCGAAGTGCCAGTAATTTAAAGAACTAAAAAGACTAAGCTGACATGCAGCATCTTTAAGAAGAGACACAAAAATAGCAGTTATTTTTTTATGTTTAGGTGAAAGAACAAACTGAAAACCCAAGATAAAACGCGAAAGAAACCCCAATTTGATTCGGAAGAGACATAATTAAGAAATGGATAACCACATGAGTTCCATTTCTTTCTTCCATTAATCACATTCTAGAAAACTAAGCTTAAATTTCATGGAACTAACTAAGCAATAATTCCACTTCTAAACAAACTACTTCATAATCACAAATTCACTCTTTTTCTGAAAATATTATTTTCATGTTCTAATTTTATCCATTGATTAGAACAAACCCTCGTACCAATAAGACCGCAGCGCTTCAACACCCATCATAATCTTCTTCTAGATCAATCGAGCAAAGAAAAATAAACACAAACCCATTCAGCTTATATAAATGAAAAGCACCAATGCACTTATTATACTACAAGATAAACACAAATGATTGTGCAACACGGAAAATTTCATGCGTGCGTGTGCGTGAAAATGGAAGATCTAGATGTATTCATTGTTATAGCCGGGAGACTTTACCGTTAGTACTCCGGTAGGTCGTCGACGGCGGTGGACAGCAGAGCTTTCTCTGTGACTATTGAGCTGGTGCGGTCAGCCAGCAGTATTTTGGTCGTCTTCTTCAATTCCAACATAGCATTAACTATATATGGCCCAGAACCGGTTAGAGGGTGCCGCGTCGAAATGTGGGCTCCACCGTGTATCTATGTACTTGTTTCACATACGTTTTCAGAAAATTTTGATTTTTTATTACTTTAAATTAATTTTTTTAATATATTAATATCAAAAATAAAATTTTAAAATAAAAAAATTTAATATATTTTCAAATAAAAAATATTTTAAAAAATAATTATAACCAATCTACCACAATATCATGTCAAGGATGAAAGCACTTCTAAGGTTTATTTTGACATTGTAAATACAGAGAAAGAGAGCGAGGGGGAGAGAGAGAGCTAGCGGAGAAAAAGCTGTAAGGAAAGCAAAACTCAAGCAAACAAAATGCTGCAGTTGTTGAGAAAATGTGGACAGAAGCAGAGATGCTCGGGGACATGATCTGCATTCTGCTTCTTAGCCAATAATATGGTAGCTAATCTTTGCATGCAGGCATGTCCTGAGAACAGGAGGAGCTTCCTTGTAGTTGGTTGCTCAAATACATAGATGGGACAAATTAGCAGACCACTGATTTGAGGGGCAACACCGCAACAGAAAGACATACAAAAATACCTCTGCGCACCAGGAAGAGAAACTTCGAAAAAATATGCACCTTTTCTCAGTGCCAATGTCGAAAATTCCGGTTGGCGGTCAAAGTGTCTTCCGGCCCTGCTTGCGCTGGCCAGTCAATAGTCATAATGACAGATTCATCTGTGATGGGAAATTCCACATGAGGCAACGGCCTCATCGAATTTGCAGCTCCTCCCGATTCCAGAGATGCTTTCTTGATTGTGTTATTTTGAATTACAAACACCATAGGAAAATCCTGGCACTGGCAGGTTGCTAAGGCGACGCCTCCTTTTGTATGTCTGCCGAACCATTGCTGATGAGGGATGGTTTCTCATTTCTAGAAGAATTAGTTCCAGCAGTTTTTTCATAGCTATTTAGCAATGCCAATTTGCACGGTTTCTTCTCCATACTGCTGCTGATCTGCAGAGATGAATGTTCATGGATATAATTCTCAATTATGATTGTTACAGATATTTTTTCTGATCCAAGTACATTGTTGTAGTCATCATCATCATTATTTTTTATTTATTGGATTTGAATTTTTTTCGTCAGCCCTTTTATTGAAACAAAAATTTTCTAGTTATCCTATGTTGAATTTCAAACATGTGGATTTGTAAGAATTAGTGGCTAATTGAATTTTTGTTTAGACATCTTCTTTAGGACAATTTTTGTCGCGGGGGGGTGGGGTGAATGTACATGGCTTGGCAGGGTATGCCCAGAATCGAAAGATGTGCAGTGATTCTGGAGATTAATGAAACACTGTAATATATCACAAAACCTCCTCCACGTTTTCTTTTCCAGTGAATTCATCAGAAAACTTTTGAGAATGGCAAGCCAAAAACACGGAGAAATCCAATTGGAATATTGGTAGGCAACTAGCAGTGCATCAACCACACTCCTGTATCACACTTTACAATATAATATCCACTTTAAATCTAATATTCTGCTACAAATAATTTGAATAAATGAAATGAATTGTGTTAATTAATCCCAAAATATTTTTCTCCGATTCACTTCTCAAATTATTTCAACCACTGAATTTATGAGATTCACAAGTAAAATCTACTCCAGAATCAGTGAAAATTGTTCAAATAACAGCATGGAAAAGGAAAATGTGTGCTATGTTAATTATTACTACGAACCTGGATTGTCTGCACGAAAACGAATTGCCACCCAACCACCGGAAGGCACACCAACAGTGTTCCTCTCAACAGGATTAACAAGGTTAAAATTTTTGGGATCATTAGTAGGTTTAAGATTTCCAAACCCTTCTCCAACAACAAAGAAATTGAGGCCATGAAGATGGAGAGGGTGACTCTCAGCACCTAAAATGCTAGCGTCCTGCACCACTGCCTCTACACTTGTGTTTCTACAACCTTGGTACCGTTGGTCACAAGAGTATTATTTGGTGGGGTCCCAGTGTAATTGAATGGATGGAGAGGAAAGCTTGGAAAATCAGTGGCATAAACCCCATTTGATTTTTTGAAAAAATAGGATTGGAGGAGTGCTGCCGAAGGGAGAGCCATGGAGATATTGTTAACAGAAGCTGCAAATTTTGTGCCATTAGGCCCGTGACATTTCTGATTTTTTGTGCACGGGCTATTTCTTAGTCCAACTGTGAAGAAGGATTTCTTGACTGCTTTTGTTTGAGGCACATCAACTGGTAATTGAGAATTGGCCAAACTACGAAATTTTCTTGTGAAATTCGCAACGACACTTGCAGCGTTAATAAGAGGTAGGATTGGTTTAATGCTGTCGACTTTGAAGAACTTTCATGCTCAAGTATCCCTGCAACAGTCGTGTTATCAAACGTGCCTTGGCCAGTAAAATATGGTCTTGCTAACATGTAGAATGATGCACTGGGGGCTACGGGTTCGGTCTTCAGAAGAATATTTGTGTTCTGTCCTGGTGTGATAACCAAAAGGTTGGTCTCAAAAGGCTTCACATAAGTTGCATCCGCTTCGACAGCGGTGAATGTGCGGTTCGCAACGCTGAAAAAGAGCTCATCGTTGAGTGCAGCATTGATCAATCGGAGAAGATATGTCTTTCCACACTCTGGAACACGCTTTAAAGGTGTAGGCTTCGGAGACATTTGGCCACCCTCCAGACTGTAATGCCTGGTTAATCACTGCCTCAGGATCAGCACTGAACCACTCTCCCGTGGTTTATTCAATCAGATTGTTTTATTCTTAATTAGCTTGTTTAACGAAGATACAAATTAAAAAGGTCACAGAAAGATTAAATAGAAAAAGGAGGTCATGGGTGGCTAATTAGCTACCCAACATGATGGTCACTTCCTTGCAGGGTTTGGCAAATCGTTAAGAAACATTTTGCTTAGGGAAGATGATGAGGGGTCCATAGACAGTAGATCTAAGCCAGGAAAAGTGAGTATGCCAGAAGAGAGTTCCTCTTTTTCCTGTAATGGTGAAGTTGTAAACATATGTCTGGTATGTTTGAATAGGGTATTATGTGATGCATGATGGCTTATCTGCCCATCCACTTTGAAGCTGTCGAATTCCATGCCTGTTTCCAATAATTTCATCACCAAAAACACGTCAACCATGAAGACCAATCACGTAGATATGATTTAACCACTTGTCATTGTTAATTAGTCGATACATACAGTACCATAAGACAAAAACTTAGTAAAAGAAACAATCATATATAATAGAAGTACATGATCGATATATACAGAGTTCAATTCATACCGCTGGATGCTGATATTATTTGGAACATGATTGACCACCTTCACCACTAGACGGTCACCTTCTCTAGCAACTACGCGGGGCCCCGGGAACATCCCATTAACTGTCTCTATGCTCTTGGTGTGGCACAACTGGGTCGCATTTTTCAGTTATATCAGAAAGAAGATGAAAACAAATGTCCATTATATTAATAAGCTAGCTGACCAGACAAAAGCATATAGTTAAAAGTGCCACAAGTTTAGATGAGTGTAATATGCATAGTATATGTACTTGCGTCGAGCTTGTAGTGCCTCGTAATGCCTGCATGCTTTGCTCTGGCAACCTCAGGAAAGGCCCGGAGGCAGCCTCTATATAGCACAGAGTAATATTGCAGAAGAATTGTTGGTGATATAGGAGCTGAAGCACCCATGCATTACGTGCCAACCAAATTAAACTAAAATATTCTACTTGGTAAAAAAAAATGAAAGGAGATGGGAGCTATAGTACTATTGGTGAAACTTAAACTTCGCTTCTCGTGTGCATATCATTAAACTCAGTCGGAAGTGTTAAATTATACAGGCAAATAGTTTATAGATAGAGTAATGCTGTCTGGTTGATTAGGTGATCAGAGGTTTCAGACATGACAGAAGGAAGAGAATTACCTACTGAGATCCATGTTTGATTTTGGAGTGTAATCATCAAAGTCAATTGATTAGTTAATTTTTTTTGTGCTTTAACTTTTGGTTTGAATATGTTTATCTCGTCCTCCTAATTACATAGACAAGTAGCATTATTTCGAAAGAAATGTCCGTATGCTAATTTCAATATCCCTTCCTCATATGTTACCCCTTCTATTGAAAATTCTTCTCGCAGAATCAAATTTTTCCTCAAAAAAACAAGCAACATGTTTGTAAGGAAATTTGACTTAATATTCCTAATTAAAGTAATTAAATGTATCTTCCACCAAAGAGAATATCAAGGATAGAGAAATATCATATTCATGCCAAAATCCAAGTTCCATGATAGCACAAGTGATTTTTGGAGGGATTTGGTGAGCATGAGGCAAAATAATTAGGGTGTTGTGTATTGCTGAAGGTCTTAAAACTTGTTGGGATAGCAATATCTAGTTTTGCCCTCTGTTGTCAGGATGGCCTAAGTAAAGGCTTATGTCTGATTCATGAGTTGTTGAAAGCCTAATTAGATAGAAATACTCATGATGGCTGTAAAGAATAGATTTGTCACGCATCCTAGCTTAAGTGTCTTAATTTTTAATTATGAAATGACATGGAAATATCAAAAAACAAGTTTTTAGAAAGAAATTGATGTTTTTATATTAGTTTCCTATAGACAACATCAATTGATAATGTTTCAAAATTCAAAATATGTAGAAATAAGGCTTATCTGGTTAGATAAAGGTCAATCGCTTAGTTCTTACAATTTAATTCATTTTATTTAGCCATGTTGGGTGATAGTTTAATGTGGAAAGCCAATGTGCATGGTAGCTTAATGTGGGAAGAAAAGTACTTGCAAAAGATTCATTTAGGTAGAGATTGATAGTTGAGTAAAGAGAATGATTCATGCTCCTTCATTGTTATAGTTTTATCATTCTCTCTTTGAATAATAAGGATAGATGTGAGGATTCTTATATGTTTTAGTAAATATATTTGTAGAGAGAGAGTATAATAATATTTTAGATAGAGAAGGTATGAAAATATATATCCAAATATGTAGAGAATAAAGATATTATAAACCCTTTACTTGGGTGATTCATAAGGTATTTATCGCTTATGAACCTTGTTCTTTTGTTTAGATGGAGCAATTGAAGAGTAATTTCATCCTTATAAATTATTATTGTTAGTCATGAGTTGTATTCCACTCAAATGTATTAATGAGATAGAAATGTCGTAGGTCATAAGAGATTTTGTACATCTTCGGTTGAAGGGAAGTAGGATCTAAAATTAGAATGCATTAGGTGAGTAAAAATCCTGAAGGACTCATGTGGGATTGAAAAAATAAGGTATAGAGGGTTAGGCTCAGGTCGTCTGGTTGAGGGATAAACGCTCAAATAAGCTTATATGTGTTGTTTAGGCCTATGAAAGTTAGGCTCAAGCATGATACCCCAACCCATGGGAGCTATGCATTGGGTTTAGTTTTCACACTAAGCCCAGCTCGTAGGAAAGTAGGCCCTAGTAGTTTTTTTGGTCTATAAGGTTTTTGGGCTCGTAAACAAAAATAATTGTCTTGAAAACAATTAATAAATCTTAATCCATCACTTGTAGATGCTAACATGAATAAAAAGGGGTACTTTTTAGTAATGAGATTGTTAAAACTCTCGTTCCATTAATAGAAGTATGGAGAGACATCATATGTGAAGGTGGTAACTAGCAATATAATTAAACATCATGTTTTCACCAAAATCAAATTTCTCGAAGATAAAGGTGTGTTATCCTCGTTGGTGTTGCTTTTGTCATTTATGATCATAAACATCATGGTCGTTGATTAAAATGAAATGCAGGATTAATAGCGACACTAATAAAGAATTTGACTTGAGAGTTTTCATATAAACATGTAATTAACCATGAATTAAATGTACTGCGGATATATGTCATCAAGTTTTTTAATTTATGGTTTTGATTAGTTGCATTTTTTCCTATAAATAATATATTATATAGCCCTTTTTTTCATAAATTAAGTGAAAAATATCATATGTTAATGTTATACTAGTTGTGTATATACACTATATAATGAGATTGATATTAAATACAAGCCGACAAAACATTTTGTTGTCTCTGCTTCTTCATTTTATATTACAGCTTTGACATTATAAGATCATAGTAAGGTTATACCACACATCAAATAAAACAAAGGCTACATCATAATACTAGTACATCTAATATCAAATATTTATGTGTGTGTGTCTATGGTCCATCATTTTTTATGAGAATTTAAGGCATGTATGATAATGTCATGACTTAGTTATCAATAACAAATAATGTTAATTATTTTTAATTAGTACTTAGTTATAATAAATTAGATGATGGATGCAATTATTAGATTTTTTGTCATTAATATGAATACATCGGTTTATATATACAACAACCAAGAATGGACGACATTGTCTATTGACAAAGAAATTATAAGACCATCCATAATCAAGAGGTTGGCAAGTTTGACAACTACTAATGTTAAGAATGAGCTAGAGTTGATAACCGTTAAATCTTATAAATAAACTCAACTAAGGAGAGTAAGGCAGAAGTTTGTAGAAAGCCGAATGTAATGACATATAGAGAGTGAGTGAACTGCCAAGGATAGTCATGATGACATCCATTACAGTATTACTAAGATAGAGAAAAAGTGAGATTGATAGTTGAGTAGAAAGAATGATTCATGCTCCTTCATTATTATGGTTTTATCATTCTCTCTTTGAATAATAAGATTAACCTTTCTATAGATATAGACGACTTGTCAAACCATGTTAAATTTTATGTGTGTTTTGGCTTTGAAGAGCAATGATTAGAACATTTGTAGTTCTAACAAGTAGTATCAAATTTTGGTGAAGAATAATGATGTTTAATTTTTGTTAAAAAATAAAGTGCTTAAAATATGTTTTTGGATGTACCACCATAAAAAGAGGTTAAAAGGATCACAATGATGAAAATAACATGCAAATCAAATCCAAAATAAAGTTGTACAAGCTAGTCAAAGTTGGCACAGAAAAGTCAATATGTCACGTCAGCATATATTGACACCAAGTCAATGTCTAGTCATCTATCACATCATTAAATGTATGCTAACTTGGACACGGGTATTAAATTTTAACATGGATCAATATTAATCTTTTTTTATTATATTTTTTAACATTTTTTTTTAATTTTATCATTCAACTTTAAGTTTATTAAATATTAAACATCTTTATTTTTTTTTGTTTTGCTTTCCATGACGATAACCTAGCCTCATGGCCTAAGTCATACATTTGTCTTGCTAGCTTAGATTGGTTCAGAATTTTCATATCATTTTATTCTTATATCAAATTTATTTTTTATTTTATTTATTTTTTTAAATATTTTCAACCTTCATCATTGGATTATTGAGGATTGACCTTAGTTATTTTTTTTGTATGGTCTACCTTCTCTTATGACCAGATCACATGTATGTGATATTAGTTTAGGTTGACTTTAGTCTTTTTTAATCTTTTTTAATATTTTTTTTTTTCAGATTTCAACTTTCAATTATGAGTTTATTAACTATTGAATTTTTTTATTTTTTTCTATATGTTTTTTATGAGAATATATTATCCTTATAATCTAGATTATAAATTTATTATGATAACTCAGATTAGATCAATTTTTTTTTTTCAATTTCTTTTCATCTTCAACCTTTAGCATTAAGTGCTATAACTCAATCACAAATTTTATTTTTAATTTAAAACACCTTTGCATTGTTATTTTAGGTTATGAAAGAAACCAACTCGACTCCCGGCGAAACACAGGACACCCCTCCGGTGATCATTCTATAACACAGTGCTCAATAAAGCATAATAATGATCGGAGGATCTAAGAAAATGCCAAGTCCACAGAAGACGCAGAGGCTCATTTGCGTTGTCCGGTGAGACTAAGATCCTATACCTGGCAACATACATTACATGGTCAAAGATGATTAAGTAGAATAACAACATTAATCATATCACCTTAAAGTTTAACAGCTGTTTGATCGCAGGTCAGGCCAAGGATCATGTCAATAACTGAAGACCATTGGATACGATTGACTTTTAATTTTTTAAACTATCATATGCCATCCATCTTGTCTGAGCGCGTGACTTACAAGACCAATGTACACGTAAAATAATTTTTTTAAGGTACTCTAGTAATTATTCACATAATTACCACAAATAAACTAGGCTATTTTTTCTGAGTATCCAAGAATATAAATGTTATTTTACTGTATAAATTAAAATAAAAAAATAAAGAGAACCTTTAACAGAAGACCCTTTTTTTTTATCAGATTTCAAGGTAAAAAGAATATTTTACTATGTATTATAAATTTGAACGACAACTTTATCCTTAATTAATTCTCAAATAATACTTAGATTTCATGAAATATATAATTTTACCTTTATGCCAAGATAATTATTAAGAGTAATGAAGATCAAAACCATGATTACATTGTTTGAATCAACCAAAAATCTCCTGCTATATTAATTCACTGAAGCCATTTAACTTCTTTTTTTTTTAATGCACATAATGATCTTTAAATCAATGAGAAACTATATAAATGTAATTTTTATTATCAAAATAAGGGGGAAAGGCATCATTTGATTTTTTTAGTTAATTACAACCTACTCCCATTAATTCGCGCCACGTAAATAAAAAAAAAAATATGAATTTTTCTCATAAGATGACGATAATGAATACCAGCAATCACTCCTTCCCTCTGATTCTATTATCTATTAGCAAAGTGAACTTGAATAATAATAATAATAATAATAATAATAATAATAATAATCGTGCATTCTTCAAAGAGCACATTGTCTTTATTCAAAGATATTTTTTTAGAAATTGAGAGACCACTGTTAGGCTTGACTTTGGTTGGTGCTAGGTTAGGTGAAAGGGGCAAAGTAAATTGCTGGTAGCCGATGCAGATCCAGCTGGCCCGTATTTAATTACTCAACCTGCCCATTTTTGGAAGCAATAGTGGATTTGAGGACGACGATGTTAATTTATCTATTTTATATTATATCATTATTTTTAAAATTTTATTTTTAACATCAACAATTAAAATAATCTGAATATATTAAAAAATATTCAATTTTTTTAAAATATTTTTAAATAATAAGAAAAATTTTATTTTGATATATTTTAAAAAGAAAAAAACTTTAAAAATCAACTATTATCACACTTTTAAATACCTTTTAAATAATATTAATACACAGTACTAGAATGATATCCATTATTATATGGATATTTTTTTATTTAATAACCTCATGTAATTTTAATTTATTGTAATTTATGAATAATGCAATGTAGAAAATAATTGTATGGATTGTGGGATTGTGGGGAAAAAAATTAAAACTTATGATAAAGATGTAGAGCAACTATTTCAAAGAAGAATATTTAAAATTTTAAATTAAAGTTAGTTAACCTCTATAGCCTTTTTTGGACCATGACTGAGAATCAAAAGTTCATGTTTCTTTGCTTCCAAAATTGAAACAATGAAGCAAGCACAGCACTCCAAACTACGAGTCTTCTTTTATCAAGCTAAAGAATCATAAGAGTTATTGTTTACTTTCTTTTCTTTCAAGATTGAGACAATAAAAAGAAGCATATTATTCCACACATACTGTAACTGATTGCAGAACTCTATAGTTGAGAAATACTATTTTTTGTTTCTATAATTATAAATGTTTGGATTAGTTTACGTTAATTAATCCAATTAATCCTTTAAAACTCTGTTTAAAAGTCTAGTGGAATTGCATTCTAAAAGATTTTATTTTATTTTTTCAAATTATTTTTTTATATTTTCAAATTATTTTAATATGTTAATATGAAAAATAAATTTTAATATATTATCTAATATACTTCCAAATAAAAAAACACAACTTGAGTTTCTTATAAAATTGGGTACACGCGTTGGGTTTGATATTTAAGAAGTAAGTTGCCTTCTTTGACTTTTTGAATCCAGATCCTGAATCGATCAAAAGAATTTATTAAATGATTCTAAATTCACCATATCCATATCAATATAAAGAACGTATTGTTAAGATAATCTCTAACTTGAAACCAGATCATGGTAGCAAATGGAAAAACAGACGGGAGTTTCACTCCACCTCTGCTCTTACAACCATGCCAAAGACCTCTACCACGAACACACAAACGTTTTGGCAGATTATACTTGGATTTAACTTCCATTATCATTGCTCAAGGCTCCACAAATAGACCACTCACAATACCATAAAGCGGAACACAGGGCAAAAGAAGACCGAAAACTGGAAGCACGAGCAAGCAAAGGTAGGTGCTTTTCCATCAATAAGGCCAAAAATTCCAGTCACGCATCATTTTATTAAGAAATGGATGGATCAGACAGTCCCCTGTGGAAGCATTTAAAAGATCATGATTTGACCACAAAATATGAGTGATCTGATCTCATGCTGCTTTTAAGCTCCGTGGAATAACTTAATGTGCAAGATGAGCAAAATTCAGTCATCCTCCGCTTAATCCCCAAAAACCCAATCCCATCTAGATACACAGCAAAGCACACCCAATCAGCTATACTGTGACTCGCAAGAGAAAGTAAGCAACCAAGAAACTCAATAGACTGCCAAAAGTAGAAATTTAATTCATAGAATGATGTTTCCAGTGATACTGCAACAAGGAAATTGCTAGTAAAAGTTTTTTTAAGACGAGGCATTTTGCTCTTCTACACTGTGGATTATCACCTATTTCAGTTCATCTATCTTCGAAATTTCAGAACCAACAAAACTGTATCATTTATCCTTCTGCGGCAAATACAAAGAATTTTTCCATTTGAAGAGACGAGAAATCTCTACTCATTACAAATACACTCTCTTTCAGTAAATGAAAAATAAATAAATTCTTAACCTGTTTAAGTGCTACGTATATACATACTTTTATCAGAAGAAGCAGTCCGTCTCTTCACCTCTCAATAGCTCCAGATGATATCACCACCTATCAGCCCCCTCCTCAACTTCCAAATCCAATCCTCTTCTCCTCCTTGTTACATGAGTCGAATAACTTCTCTCAATCGATTCAGTTCCAGATACATCATGCATTCTTGACGACGAATTAGGCCTAATCCTCCTCAAAAACGAACCCAAACCACGAAAAACTCTCCTGAACCCCCCACTGCCACTGCTGCCCTCCCTTCCTCTACTCCTAGTTACCCAGGAATCCCAATCTCGAGGCCTCCTGTTCCCACTAAGCCCACCATTCCCACCGCCATCCATCTCCGTAAAAACACCCGGAAACTCCCTCTCTCCACCTCTCCTCCCCCCACTAAACCTCCCAACAGCAAACCCACCTCCAGGCAACCTCCATATAGTCAACCCCACAACCTCCCCTTCCGCCTCCTCCTCGTCAGAATTATCCACAGGCAACTCGTGCCTACAAACCGGACAAGAATTTCGCATCGCAAGCCAGGGCAAGATGCAATCAGAGTGGTAAATATGCTTGCAAGGCATCTCGCGAGCTTCGTCTCCAATCTCAAATGCCTCTTTACACACTGCACAGTACGTCTCCGAAACCACGTGCGTTTCGTTTATTTCTACACGAGGCATTGATTCAACCACGGCTTTCGATGCCGGCGGGTTAGGGGCCGACCGGCCTAAGCTGTTTATCTCAATCTGTGATAATTGGTCCAGTAAGCGATCGAAACCAGAAACCATTAAAAACTCCGACATCGTCTCAGGTATGGGTCGGAGACCCGACCCAGATCCATCGTCGTAGTAGAACTCGTAGGCGCTTCCTTCATCGTTGTCATCGGCGGCGGCGGGAGTTGTTCCGCGGAGGACGATCACCGGGTTGTACGGAGACCGGTCGCCAGCGTTGCGGCGGTTTCGGATGAAGTTGGAAACCCGACTACGGTTCCGACGGTTGTCGTAGTTGGATTGGATCTCTTCGACAAACCCACCGTCGCAGTGAGGACACGTGATGTAGTTGGCGTGGTTTTGTTCTTCGTCGTCGTTGCGAGGTGCAACGGTGACAAAGCGTGCACACCTGTAACACCAATACGACGTACCCGTCGTTGAAGCCATGGTCAGATCGGAAAGTAGCTGATAGGGGAAGAGAATGATGATTGCAGAAAGAAATGAGAAGAGAGAGAGAGGCGCCGGGCTTTTAAAGAGACGCGTGAAAGAAACTTGGGATGGCGGGCTATGAGTGGGAAAACAAAATGAGAGGGCGAAGGAGCGTTCCCGGTGGATCAAATACAGGATTTTACGCGTGAGCGTCACGTGGTTACGCGCTTTCATTGTTTTATTTTATTTTATTTTATTTGCTTAGTTTTGAGAAAAAGGCTCTTTTCAATAATTTTATTTGCTTATTTTTGAGAAAAAGGCTCTTTTCAATAATTGGGTAAGCTACAAGAAAAGCCCTAAAGCACCCCCTGATGTATTCTGTTTTCAATGTCATCCCTCTCTCTTGCAGGTGGAAATTGCCTGGGCTGCCTTTTGCAACTAGTTGCGCAACCTCCCAAGCGGTGGAGTCATTTCCATGTCAAAAAATTGGTTTAGGTTAGTGATAATAAAGTTTTATATCTTTATTCGATGCTTAAATAGTTTAAGATTTGCTTTTAATAAAAGTTTCACTATGTTTACAGTATTGACATTTTAAGTTTTTTTATGTATTTCACATGGTAATTCTATTTATTTAATGTTATATAGATACACCTAATCTACTCGAGGTTCAAGTATATTTTTATAATAATTCATTAATCATAGATAATTAAATAAACACAAGCAACTTTTGTTTTTCTTACCTCTCTCGCAAATCTAAAAATGATAAATAAAAATTAAATAATCACATCCAACACATAAGCCCTCTAAAAACAATTAAAAACCCTTAATGCCGAGCATTCGTTCTTGGCTTGTCAATTCAATTGCCTTCAAAAAAGGATTGGCTATGAATGAAACTAAGACCTCGAGGGGCTTTAATGATAAATACTACATATTTAAGAGGCAAATTGACATAACATTCAAGTCGCAGGAGGGGTTTTGTGATCTGAGTTTTGACCGGAGACCTTGTCAGTGCCCTACGAGTTAAGGTAGTAGACTTGACAGCTAGGACTATTAAGGGCTCAGAAAGCTACTGTGTACAGTATTACTACACAAGTGGCACATAGCTTGGATTGGGTTTGACTGGGGAGAGAACGCCCACTTTGAAAATTCAAGCTGTCTGTTCGAGGCATCTTGCGAGGAATACAAACGACTAGTCTCTCTACTCCCTTGCGTTGGAGTGGATTGGCCTGCCTGTCCACAACCGCCGACTCCAATTTTAATCCTACAATTAAATTTTATTTTTTTGTTTCTACGGAAGGACTTCAATTTTGATCCTGCCATATCGATGCGGCCGGTGAAAAGAAATTGTTCAGATTTTCACCGCCGATCCATTGAAAGTTTAACCGGATTAGGTATTTAATAGTTTGTTTTTGTATTTAAAAAATTAAAAATATTTTATTTTTTAATTTAAATTGATTTTTTAATTTTTTTAATTATTTTAATGTGTTAATGTAAAAAATAATTTTTAAAAATAAAAAATATCATGTTAATTTATTTTAAATAAAAATATTTTAAAAAATAACTATTATTTTTATTTTATTATCAAGTATCCTCTTTAAATATAATGGAAAGAGATGTGTGTGGAATGTGAATTTTGTAATATTATTTATGGAAAGAAAGTGTATTTTTTTTTTATTTACGTGGGATGTCCGGGTCAGCTTGCGCGCATCACGACTAATCCCCACGGCCCACTAAATATCCTGCAAACCCAGTAGACATGTAAGGCACCGCAGGGTGACAGGCATACACGCTAGAGCTCGAACTCAAGTACAGTAAAAGGAGATAAGCCCCTTTCACCGCTAATCCAATCCCTAGTTTGCAAAGAAAGTGTATTTTACATATTCAAGTTAAACCACCTGTACAGAGTGACAAGCTTCCTTAACAGCAGGGATGGATGGCGCCCCGTTTATCAAAAAAATGTGGACTCCAATTTTCAATCATATAATTAATTTCTTTACAAAGTCATGGTCATGTATGCTTAAGTGCTTAAATGTGAGTAACCTGACATCCTGATGTGTAGTTATGATGTCCGGTCGGAATTTAACTTAGTTTAAGATTTGACTCGTGGGTTTATTAAATTCAATTTTTAAATTAAATAATCTTTTTGTAAATAAAAAATTAATAATAAAATGATATTATTTTAAATAAAAAATAAAAAAAATCATTAAAAATGATTAACTCCGGTCCTACTCAGGTTGGAACAGGTTTATTAAAATTTAACCAAAGTTATTTAAGTTTGATCGAGTTAATCTCCCAGTCAATTTGAATTACCGAGTTGATTATTCGGGCAGGCGAATATAATAATGATGACCCAGAGGGTTTTCGTGTACGGCTCCAGGAAAGGGAAGTGGTTAGCACTTATTACTCGGCATATCTTTTCTTGGATTTCATGTTTTACCAAAGGCTCAGGGGTGCCTCTATTTCTGGCAAGGAGCATGCGTTTAAAGCGAGTAATTATTGGGGCCGCTGTGTGATGGGAACTGTTAATTATTGCGAGACACGAACTGGGGAAAAAATGGAACAGTGCTGCGTGCGGTAAATTGAGATCTGGACATCAAGGGAACAGGGCTGGTGCCGAATCGGAGCCTCTCCCTGGACCCCGTTTCATCTTTGGCCGGTCGGGATGGGATGCCTTTCCTCGCATCTTCTCCCACACCATCTTCGCAAGTGAAATTTAATTTCTTGCATTATTGTTGTAAAATAGAGATGCAGGCGCTTTGTGATGATTAGGAAGGTTCAGCTTAAAATCGTGTTTAGGAAATTTAATCACAATTGACGCTAAGTTAATCTGGCTTAATGGGGAACAAAACTTCTTTGGAGCTGCATTGTTAATCAACATATACTAAATGACGTTAGGAAAGTCTGTGACACAAGAGAGAAATTACTTTGCATTAAAATAATGAAGAGACACTATTGTTTTTCTAACCAAAAAACACAAGGGTTTTTATAAGATGTAATTGGGTCTTTTCACCGGTTTATGTGTCATTATCGATGTAATTTAATAACATACAGGATAGCTCCAATTTACTTAATTTTTTATATTATTAAATTAAAGTTATCTTTTTTTTTGTATTATTAAAATAATTGAGCCCGTTAAAACTCAATTATCCCAGCCTAGGATCTTCTTCTTTTTTTAAGAATTTTTTTCGGTGTTATCCTTCATCATTCTGGTAGTTGGAAGTTGGGTTTTTTTATTTAACATAGATTTAAGATTTAATAAGTTTTAAATTTAAGAAATTAATTTATATTTAGAAAATTTATTCATATTTACTTAATTTTTCATGTAATTAAATTATAACTGTCTTATTTTCATGTTATTATATTAAAAGATCTTTATGGAACTTAACAGCTTAAATATTGAAAATATACATTTTAAATTTTTTAAAATTGTGAGGTGACACTGATTATTAATTTAGATTTATTCAAGTCAATTTAATTTTTTAAGATTTTTTTTATTTTTAACTTTTAATATTTAATTTAAATTATATGGGGTTGTTATACTTACATGTTTCAAATTACTAACTTTATAATTTAATTAGATTTTACTGAGTTGATTTAAAATATTGTTATCTTAATATTTTCATTAAAAAACAATATGTTATCCACCATGTTAATATTTCTATATTTTAAGAGTATTTTTTTTCAATGCATCAAATTTTTTATTTCATAATGTTTTTATATTATTTAAAATTAAAAAAAAAAATATTTTACTCAGGACGAAATACAGGTAAAAACCTAGTTTGATATTACCTCGTGTCATTCTCCACCGGGTCCATCTCATGGACGGTTTCCCGTGAATCTTTATGTTCTTGTGCACCATGTCGAGTTCGAAAAGTCGCTACGAAAAATTAAACATTGACTCGGTTTTGTTCGTCATAGGCAACGCGATTTTTATAAACCTCAAAGCATGGTCGCGGTGGCTTCGTTTACAAGTCAAAAAGGCACCCCCCCAATTCTTGCCTCAAAAATGGTGACGGCGGCGGAGGTGATGAGGGTGCAGCAATGCTGGCAACGATGATGGTGCTGCTGGTGATATTGTGGGTTAGGATTTGAAGCTTCGATAGAGGAGATTATGAAGCTTGTCTGAACTGGCTGCAAGAGAGAAATTTGCATGTTCTACTACCTTTTTGTTTTTGAGATTAAAAGGTATTTTAAAAAAGATTTAATTTTTTTTATTTTTTTATTTTAAATTAATAATTTTGTAGTGTTTTAAAATTATTTTAATATATTGATATTAAAAATAATTTTTTTAAAAAATATATTATTTTAATATATTTTTAAATAAAAAATCCTTTAAAAAATAATTATAACTATACTCTCAAGCATAACTGAATAATTGTTAACTAATTTAGAGGTGGATTTAAAAGATTATTTGTTGATTCAAATATTTATCATACTAAAGTTACGGGATATTGATTTAACTCAAGGAAAGATATATATATATATATATATATAAAGGCAAGAAGAAGATGATAGAATACGTTGATAAAAAGTGTCATTAGCATAGATTACGTGATTAGCCATAATTAAATACAATGATTATATTGTATATTTTTTTTTTAGATTAACGTGGGTGTCCGGGCCAGCTTGCGCGCACCACGACTAATCCCACGGGCCCTGAAGTTAACGACCATGTAAACTTCCAGTGGTTATCATATAAGTAACCAAGGACTCGAACCTAAAATTACAGAGGAAGTAAACCCTTTGATTCCAAGTCCTTACCACTTGGCCACCATCTAACCCATACTTGATCATTTAATATTCAGTCAAGAGAGGTTGATAGTGGGATTAACAGCCAGAACAATCAAGATACAAATACACATGAATTTTGACTTATGTGGGGTTTCAGTGCTTGACAGAGGGTCCATGTTCGATCATACAATTACACTCATTGGTAACCATTTATTTTTTTTTATTTTTACTAATCTTATATTTTAGAAAGATCATTCTATCTAGTTTATGACCAGACCGACGCCCACATTTTATTGCGGATCGGATGAAAATTCAATCACTTCATTAAAAGAAGAAGCAAGTGTCGTGATATTTTTTTTTTAATGAATGCGATAAAATATTTGAAATGAAAATTAAAATTTACTAATATGTGAGATCAAATTAATTATTATATATATTA